GAAGTCAAGGATGCACATAATTGAAACTTTTTAAGATTAATAGAGACAGTTGTGTTTTCAACGTTAAGGCATATATAATCTTAAATGTTTAAATTTCCATCTTTTGCCATTTTTTTCAGTCTTTAATTAAATTTTAAAAATATAAGAAAGTTTTAAAATTACCTTTTTTTTTTTTAAAGATTTTGAAACATGACTTAAATTTTGAAATTATTTTTAAAACCAGATAACAAAACAAAATAAAATAGTGTTTTTTTATTTATTAGTTTAACCACATGTGCGATGAGAATTCAAAATTTTATGATCCATGGTATATGCTTTAACCACTTTGAATTATGCTCAAGTTAGCAAAAATATACTTAAAATTTTAAGACAGAAACTAAAGTAAAAGTGATATCAATTTTTATGTCACTTTTGCTCCATATTCTTTAATTTTTAAAAAAAGAAAATTTCGACTTTCCGTACGGAAAAAAGGGAGAAAAAAGACCGAAAACAATTAGGAATTTTTTAATATGGTAAAGGAAAACTAATTATTTGAATATAATTATTTCAAAACTAATTTTTAAAATAGTGTAGTTTTAATTCCGTTTCACGAGCAGCAATATATCGAGACAAGACAACTTTGCCACACGCAAGCAAACATACCAACACCAAATCTAAATTAATTATTTAATTAAGTTTTAAATATTTAAATTTGTTTGAAAATTCAATTTTAAACTTTCTTTAAAAATAAAATAAGTTTATAAACAAAATCTAAGTAACTAATTAGACAAACCAAATCTGATTAATTATTGAAATAATTAGCATATTCATAACTTAATTAAATAATTAATTAGTTAGTTAACTCATTAGAGTCAATTTATATTTAATTAGTTTATTTAAATAGTTAATTAAATTGAGCTAATTATTTAAATATTTATAGATTAATAAACAATTAGTTTAGATTTAGTTTAAATTAGATTAAGCCCAAATTAAAATTACAATATTTTAAAAATTAATTTTGAAATAATTATAGTTAAATAATTCGTTTTTTTTTACAATATTAGAAAAAAAATAAGTCCAACACATTTCTCCGGTGAGACCAAGGATTTCGCCGACGTAACCGGCGATCTTAAGAAGAAGGGCTGTGGACTGAAAACTCTCCGTCGACGGGCGATCCTAGGCGATGGTGATGGCCATTCCTGCACTTCATATCGGTGAATCACTAAACTCACTCATTCCATTAGGGTTTACTTTATTCCAATCATTGTTTTCTCGAATGAAATGCAGAATTTTCAACCGAGTTGGTTTCAGAATTCCTAATGCTACGGTCTAAAAGCAAAAAGTTAGAAAGAAAGAATAAGAGAATTCGTGGTTCCTCCTTTACACTTTTGAAGTTTACCTGCTACTATGACAATAATTCAATCAAAGATAAATGCTAAAGATTGTAATTCGTACTGTATGTATCGTAAATGGAACTTTTATTTCTCCTGAGGATACTCATAAAAATGTTCTTGATTCTGAAATAACATTCTTTTCCTAACATTTTTACTCATTGGAATTTGGGGCTTTTTCATTTGGCTACATACAGAAGTGTTTAGTTTAGTTTCATTATTTGATTAAATTTACATACTATTCGTGCGCACACACTCACACTCATGAATGAATGATATAAAAAATTGTATAGTTTAAACATGATGCATATAATTCACTTAAATCAACGAGGATTTGTGAAGTTTATAAAATAAAGTTCATTTTGAAGCATACATCATAATCAGGAAAATGGGCCTTATGGTTTCTGTGGTCTATATTGCTGTGAGAGTAAGCAGTGGTATTTCCTATGATTTGCTTGGTAGAGTCTGATTCAGCAACCAAAAATAGTAGCCAAGTTGGATAAGAATTTTCTGCTAAAGTTGTAAGTGAAGTCATCGGGTGCCGAAATAGCTATCTACTCCCACATAGCCCAGTTTTAAATTTCCTTAATGGTTCTTAGACGGCTTATTTCTTTAGCTTTTCTCTGCATGGCATGAACTCCTTTTGGCTTTTAGGTCTGTATATACATATTCAATGAAATCATCCATGTTCTTCTGCCTCCCCCATTAATTAAAGTCGATATATCAATAGAAAATTCCTCATTCTTTTAGCACGATTTCTGGCAGAACAAGCCTCCCCCATCTTCCACTAGTGGACTGACTACTGACGGAAAGCCATTTGCTGGCGGCCCATTATTGGAGATGAATAAAGAAAGGTGAGCTTTGGGTGCAGGTTTTTCTTCTCGTGAGAGGAAGTAAGTCAAACTTCTTGGGAGTGTTGTGTTGTACATTAGTTTTTATATTCCTTTTTTTTCCCTGGAAGTGGAGTGCCATGAAAGTGTGATATGCATCACTTTATCACTATAGCAATTTTGATTTTCAACAAGATGGGGCCTAGCTTAGCTCTGAAAAAATTGTGAGGTTGTACCAAACTCAATCCAAAAAAATATTTTGAGTGGCTGAGCCACTAATCCTATTGGACCGGCTGAAAATTATCATTCTCTTGCCAACTCCTAGCTTCCTTTATTTGTATATAAATAGCTGCCATTGAACACTGATAGTAATACAAAACTTGCATCCATTTATATTTCTACTGCTTTCTCAGAAGCTATTCTGAAGACATGAAGGATAACTCCTCAAAAGTTGTTGTTTTGTTCCTTATAAGCTTCTTTTTTTTGAATCAGCTCCTTGTGTCCTCGCAACTTGATTATAGGTTCTATGATGACTCTTGTCCCAACCTAACAAGGATTGTCAGATATGGCGTCTGGATGGCCCTTTCTAATGATACTAGGATGGCTGCCTCTCTCCTACGGCTTCATTTTCATGATTGCTTTGTCAACGTAATCAGATTTTCTATATAAACAATTGAGTTACTAATAATTTCTGCTTTTTAGAGCAAATGTTCAATGGCTCTTTTTGAAAAGATGTTCTCTTTTCTGTTTTTCGAGTATTTCTTTTTTCACCTCATGGATGACTTCTTTCAAATGAAGTTTAATGGCCTTGGAAGAAAAATAAAAGTGATGCCGATACTAACTGTTAGTAAATTTTTTGTTTCTGCTGTAGGGTTGTGATGGATCAGTGTTGCTTGATGACACTAGCACATTCAAGGGGGAGAAAAATGCGCTCCCGAACATGAACTCTATTCGAGGTTTTGAGGTCATTGATAATATAAAGGCTGTTTTAGAGAGAGTCTGCCCATCCGTCGTTTCATGCACCGATATACTAACTCTAGCAGCAAGAGAGGCTGTCTACTTTGTGAGCAAGTTTTTGGTTTACACATCTCTCCCAAATGTCATGCTTTTGTATATTTTTCTGAAACCTTCCTTTTCAGGCTGGAGGATCATATTGGCCTATTCCACTTGGTCGCCGAGATGGCACAACAGCGAGCGAGAGTGAAGCCAATCAGCTGCCATCACCATTGGAGCCATTGGAGAATATCATTGCAAAATTCACTTCAAAAGGTCTTAATGTAAAGGATGTTGTTGTGCTCTCAGGTAACCTTTCTCATACCCCATCCGCGTACTTCCCTGTCAGCTTCAAATCTATGAAAACTATTCTAATTAACTGACGTTTAGGTGCACACACTTTCGGATTTGCTCGGTGCATGATGTTCAAACACAGGCTCTTCAACTTCAACAACTCTGGAAATCCTGATCCAGAACTCAGCACATCGCTGCGACAGAACTTACAGAGCATGTGTCCTAATCAAGATGACTCCAACAACAAACTGGCTCCCTTGGACGCCTACACGACCAACAAGTTCGACAATGTGTATTACAGGAACCTGGTGAACAAGTTGGGACTTCTGCAGTCGGACCAAGCTCTCATGCAAGACAATACAACTGCTCCTTTTGTGGTAGACTACAGCAGGTACCCATATCTGTTTTACAGGGACTTTGGAGCATCAATGGTGAAGCTGGCCAATATTGGGATCCTCACTGGCCAGAATGGGGAGATTAGGAAGAACTGCAGGGTGGTGAACTAGAACTTAGAAGATTTGCCTTTACAACCTATTTGTAAATTTGACCAACTCTCTTTTTATAATAAATTGTATGTTGGCTAGTGTTTATACTACTACATTTGCTGTTACTTTCTCATCAACTGCCATTCTTTGGCATATAAATCCCGAGTTTAGTAAAACTGTGTGGAGATTTGTGAGTTTATCAAGCTAAATTCGAGCTTGGCAAACACTAACGTGAAACATGATTATAAGCCTAAACCATCCTCCAAGGGCCTCAGAGTTGAATTTGGGCCTGCGTTTGGCCCAAAAACTCAGTTTCTTATGGGCCTGCTGGTGGGAGGCCAGTTCCCCCATAGTTGGCTCCTGCTACCAAACCATTCAAAAAATTATAATTAAAGAAAGAAAGGGAAAGCCAAATCAAAATCAAAGTGTTCTTTAAGTAAGAAATCTGTTTAATTAAAAAGAGATCAAAAGGAAATCTCAAGAAGGGATGCTAAGAAATGTAGCACAATGACAAGTTTATCCTCATAGATCAACTGAACTGGCTTCCAGATCTGAGTCAAATTAATATTTGTTTGAATGGTGAGCATGTCAAAACAAAATTAAAAAAAAATCTTTTTAAAATAATATGGTGGGTGCATTAAGTGAATATTTTAAATATTTTTCAAGAAAAATCGAATATGCCTTAATTAACTAAATGTCAAGGGAGATTGTTTTCACATCAATGTCGATTAAATTTCACTAATTCGTCATTTTCGTATAAAATAACAACTAATGGTTTTGTAAAATTCCACTTGTAAAAAAAAAAAAAAGGTTTGAATATATATAAATTTGATTTTTGTTCCTTTTTTGCCCTATGTAAACGAAAAACTTAAGTATGCATGCCAGAAGAAATAACATTAAAAAAAACGAGCTTTCAGATTTAATATTTGCAAGCAAACATAATAATTTTTACTCTTAACTCTTAAGCAATCGATCAAATTTCTTGTTTAAAAGAAAATTGTACAGTAAATTTAACTATTGTAATTATATTTATAATTATTTTGGTCTTGTACCATGAAATAGTTCAATTAGCTTTGTACAACACTAATGATAGTAAAAGTTGAAGTTAAAAAAAAATAGTAATTTGAACTAGATGTAATAATATTGTTTAGAATAGATTAAGAGACAAATCAATAATAAAATTTAGGGTGTATACTATTCTAATTTTACAATTTAAAAGAATAGAATTATAAAAATTAATTCATTTAGTATCAATTTCTTCCAAAATATATATAATTTAGGGGGAAATTCCAACTTGGGAAGCAGTTGAGATATATATGTCATTTGAGGAGGGAGGGGGTGAGCCGTCACTTCTGATTAATTAAGTGTGATTGCATCATTTATGTTTCATTGCTTAATTCATATGTATTTGTAAGAGCTTAAGTCATTAGCATAAAAATTCATCATCATCAATGAAAAATAGGAATATATATAATATAATATATATATATATATATATATATATTATATTATATTTTGCGGTCTCGAATTTTAAAAATTTCATAAGAAATTGTTTATATTGGTGAATAATATATAATAACAACAATTCGTAAAATCTATTAATCTCATTGTAATTATATATTTTTACAATATTTCAAAATAAAGTTATTATTTTTGTTATATTCAGTCGAACCTTTCAATTTTTTCTAATCGAAATATCTATCAAAATGTAATATATATGACGTGTCAATAAAAATTTAGTTCCTTGGATTTGGCGGGCTTTCTTTGCATCAATTGATATGATATTATAGGTTCTCATGAGGTTGCCCAGCTATTTAATATTCCTTAAAATACATATGATTTTTTTTCTTTCCATTTTCATATTATAGTAATCCAATACAATTTATTACTTCATTCAATTATAACCACCACCTTTTTTATGGAAGATATATCCTTTAAAATGTTGACWSCAACGCTGGTTGGAGAGTAAGATACAACCTATCACATAGAACAATAACGAAAGATAATCTTACATGATCTTTGTCTAAGTTACTTCAAAAATATACGGTAATCGATCTATATATGAAGCTCGACTAGAACAATCATCAAATAGCTCGAACACTACCACTAAGGGCTTTTTTTTTCTAATAAAATGACAATTTTATTCTAAGAGTTGTTTTCTCAACTYTGAGTCAAACAAATATTTGTTTGAATGATGAATATGTAAACTRGAAAGTTTTTCTAAAAATTTAATAGTAAGATGAGTCTATTAAATTGGTAATATAAATAATTTCTAAAGAAAATTTTAAAGGATCGAAGAGTAGATTTGTTATAATTTGGATCCCACGGAAGTTTGAAATTTTAAATGGTCAAAGGAATTAAACCATGAATGCTCACCAAGTAGATTGTTTTCTTTCTTTAATAAAAAAAAAGGAAAAGAAAAGAAATGAAAAAGATTGTTATCTTCTCTGTTATTTTATATATATTGTTTTTCTTTACTTCTCCTTCTCTCTCTTTTTCTTTTTTTCTTTCCTTCTTTGAATTGGTAAAACAACACATGCTTGTGTTGTCATTAANAAAAAAATCATTCTCGTGTAAATTCTAATGTAAAGTTAAAAAAATATAGTTTCAGTAATATTTGAACTTACCCAACTGTCCAGAATTTATGAAAATCAATAAAGTCCAACTAATAAATTATTAAAATCCAAGCTAACAAACATCTAAAATTCAATTATAAAAATTTTGAAATCAAACTAAAAAATATCCCAAAACCAACCACAAAATGATCATCAAGAAAATACCAAGACCCACACAGTACCCTAACACCAAAACCTAACAAAAACAAAAACAAATTTCCTACCCAATTCTGAAAATAACACACATTTTTCGGGTCTCTACTCACTTTTTTATATTTTTTTTCTATTACAACATATGTGTGACAAGAGAATTAAACATTCGACTTTAAAGAGAGTCACTTTAAACTAAGACATATTTCRTTTTAATTTAAGAGAGCTAAGTCAATAATAATTTAATGATATATTWAAAAAAAACTGATGAGTTAGGAATATTGACATGGACCACATATTATTAACAGTGAGACAAAATTTGATTATGTATGCTTATGGCCGTAAGACATGATGTTATCATTGCCTTCTATTGATTGGACTTCTAATTTCTTGAGCTACGAATCACAATTCACACCACATATATTTTTAACCAATCAAACATAATAATATCGAAATAAGATATGATAAATTTAAATATCAATTTTACTCTTTAATGGTATTATTCAACCTCCAAAATAATAAAGTGAGTATGCAACGAATATTCAAAGAAAATGAAATATAGAAATGTAATATAATGTATGTATGGCTCATCTCATCCAATATATATGCCACATGCATTTAAAGTCAAATTAATGCCTTTTGAGGAAATATGTATGATTAGTATATGATAATCAAGTACAATATGTGAGGTGGAGATTCGAACTCACAGTTTTTTAATTGAAAATCTATGTTTTAACCAGTTAAGCTATATTCAGATTGACATTTAATAATTAAGTTAAGCATTATAAGCTGCTAAGACTTAAATTCTGCAAATGATGTACATATGTTTATATACATTCGAGTTAAAAGGTTTATCACAACTATTTTCTTAATTATATAGGAGGCTGAACTAACTTATTTAATTTTGATGGGGATACACATCATACCTACTATCTTATCCTCTTCTGAGAACATTTTTGACATGCTTGTCATTCAATTTTATAAGCGCTCACTCATGACAAAATTCTTCCATAAAAATTTTAAGGAAAAGTATTTTTTTTTTTTTTGTCTAGGTCACTTTGGTCCTTATCTTTCAAAATTATGCACTTTTTTGGTCCCTTGGTTTTTGGAAGAGTKATATATGGTCTCTCAACTAACATATTCATTAGGTATCTCATGGAGAAGATGATTGGGCTGACGTGACATATACAAGTTGGAAAATATATCCTTCATTATGTACCTATATATTCATTCCACGAGTGCTGGGCATTAAGCTCATCACATAGCATAATCGAATAAATTAAATAGGAATGCGACRAAAACCTAACACGTCCATGTACGTATGTGAAAGATAAGATTGCGTTGGTCTCTTCTACGAGATCACTTATCACGATGTCACTTATAAAACACAATCTTAACTTTATTGCGATGCTAGTCAAAAGATCGCGTTATGCGATCCTTATATTTCTAAAACATGTGTGTAYATGACGTACATAAAGAAAACATGTGGATTGACATATCCTCGGTAAACTTCCGCAGGTCTTTTTTAATAAAATATGTAACTCTGTCAAGAAGTTATATWTTTTTTTTGTCTTTGCGTATATCGTACACGTACGTACRTGTTAAAATATAAGCACTGTGTAATGCAATCTTGTGACTAGCACCGCAATAGGGCTAGCAATCACRTTTTATACARAGCATTGTATAAGTGCTCGCATTGGAAGACGACCAGCACGATCATATCTTCCACATGTACGCGTGTTAGGATTTACGATTGCATTGCTAAGTTATCCAATCGAACTACATGATGGCCAATAATGGCCAGTTAATATAATGTGGATTAACAATGATATGTATTCCACGTGGACGCTTCAAAGTTTCATTGCATAGTTTTATTTGATCATGTGTTATTACACGATGGGCCTAATATCTAGCACTCTGGGTGAATATCCATATAATGAAGGACATTTTTCCAACTTGGATATATATATGTCATGCGTCGATGCAGTCATATATTTTGCATTAAAAATACCTAATCATTGAGGAATCATTTAAACGCAATCTAAAAATCCAAGGACCAAATGTACACGATTTTGAAATATAGGGATCAAAGTGTCCTGTAGGTAAAATTCAAGGATCAAAGTAAAGTGATACTTTTGCCCAATTTTATTTTAATTATAACTCTTCTATTGGAGCAAATTTTTGTTATTTGAAACTCCTTTTTTTTTTTCTGAAAGGAAATAGGAGTTTATTTACATAATTCTATTTCAACAGTAGTCAAATTTCTCATTTTATAAATAAAGATCTTTACCATATATATACATATGTATTTTCAGAGGATTTTTCTATATATATATATGGAGTTTATTTTCATAATTCTAGTTCAACAGTAGTCAAATTTCTAACTTTATAAATAAAGATCTTTACCATATATATACATGTATATTTTCAGAGGATCTTTGCTATAATATTTGCTATAATGGAGATCTTTGCTAATATAATATATATATATATATATATATATATATATATATATATATATTTTGTTGCGTAGGATCTTTGCCAAATATATTTTTTGAATGGATCTTTCCCAAATATTTGAGAAAGGAAAGCTCCTCTAATTTCTTTTTTTATTAACCACTTTAGCTTAAAAATTTTTTTAGTACAACAATATGAATTTTCCACTTCAAAAGAGCAAGCAGTGGGGTAAGTGCATATTGACCACTTTAGCTTAAGGTTGTTAAGCTTATATTAATTAAGCTTCTTAATTTTCTTTTTGAGTACAAATAATTTTTTTTTTTTTACAATTTACTCAATAATTTGTAATAGTATATATATCTACACTAATATATACAATTTTGGATTTTTTCTTCTTAACTAAATAATTTTAAAAAATCTCAAATAGCCAATAATAGTATGAAGTTGCATAAATTGCTTATTTAATTGCAGAAACCAATTTATTTTAATACATAGAAAAAGTTAGTTCCACGAAATATGGCTACACTTGTTGGGAGGATATTTTACCTTATTAAAAAGGCCATGGTTACAAAATTAAGAAATACATAATTAAGGAATAAATCTCCATTGATACGAAACTTTTTAGGTAATACTGAAAGTAAAGTCATRAAAATTTATATTTAAAGTGGATAATATCATCATTAAAAGATCAGCTGAAGTCGATTATTCCTAACAATAATATCAATAAAATGAAAACTTATATCGGAAGTGAACAATRTCATCATTAAGAGATCAGTTGGAGTCGATTATTCCTAACAACAATACCAATAAAATATAAGAGAATGATAGCTTAYGAGAGTTTACGGGCATCTCTTTAAACCATTCATAACAAACATTATAATATTGGAAAATAAAATTGAAGTTAGGAGTGTGGTGGGAAACAGAATCAGGATGGCCCACATGACCCAATTAGATTTGCTGATTTTTATTGAATCAGTCCATAGGATCAAACTTTTTATTCTTTTGGTCGGTCGGGTTGACTTTTCTTATTATTATTATTATTATTATTATTTTCAGTCTTTCCATTTTCATAATATTTAAGGTGATTATTCGAATTTTTTCAACCCAAACAAATAAAAATAAAAAATAAGCTGGATCCGGCAAACAGGTGGAACCTGAATTTCCATTTTTGGTCAAACCCAACCCATTACTTGGTCTTTTCCAATTTCCCCTGTTGCCTCTATTGCAAGTATTTGTTAGGTATTACCGTTTCATCTGTTAAAAAAAAAAAACAAAAACAAAATCTATTTTCTCCCGTCTCTATTATCCACTTCATTTTTATTTTTGCAAAAAAAAAAATATTTTTTTTTATTTTTTTAACATGATTTCCCTATTTGTTTTCTTTGGCCACAATTTCTCCAACTAACTATTTAGTTCCTATCCTACATACTCCAAATTGAAAACTTAAAATATAAATGGTATGCTTGTGTAAGAAGCAAACGAACAAAGTGGCGTCGTTTTAGCCTAAGGAGTTAGTTTTGGAAACCCATAATTAATATAGTTAAAATATAATTATACAGAAATTGCCAAATTAACGAATCTTCCCCATTTGGTCGTTATTATTTTGGTAAAAAAATAAAAATGCGTTTAATTAATCCCCAAGAAATGAGATACAGAGCATCCAGATTGGCGCCACGTGTCCAAAATTTAAAATGGCGTATTTTCTTGACCTCTCGTTTTCTCGGCCAGCCAAAACAGTGCCTTCTCTTTCCAAGGAGAAAGCTAACAGAAAATATAAGAGGCGATGGGTTGATTCAGTGTCACGTTATTCAATGTTTCATCTGACTTTACTTTTTTTTTTCTTTTTAATTTTTTGGTGGGTGGGTGTGTCCCTCTAATTCAATTGCAATTGGGGTCCGAAAAAAGGGAAAAAAGTGGAAGGGATCGTCGTTTGGGCTTGTGAGTTGTGATTTGGATCTTCATCTCTGTGGCAGCTCATCAGATAAAATAGAGAAAAAGCTTGATTTCTATTTTTAGTTTTCTGTTACTTGGGTTGGGCAAGTGAAGATTAGAATTTCGAATTTGGGTTTTCAATATACATTACAATTTTTTTGTATCTGCTCGCTCCGACTCGGGAATTCAGTGTTTCATTTGCGGGGTTTTAGGGCGTAATCGATGGGTGTCTGCGTATCCAAACCGTCGACGACGACGACGACGACGGTTCTGGCTATTCCGGCGAGGGGTGGTTCTGTTCAAGCGATTGAAGGTCCGCCGCCATCGCAAGCACCTGCGCCCTCAGTCGACAGCGGAAATCGTAAAAATGAGAGGGAGAGGGAGAGGGAGGGAAAGAAAACTAATTATGAGTTGGAGAATGGTAAGAAGTCACCGTACTTCACCTTTTTCAGTCCCAGCCCCGCCCACTACCTCTTCTCCAAGAAATCTCCGGCGAGATCTCCGGCGAATGCGAGCTCCAACTCCACGCCGAAGCGGTTCTTCAGGAGGCCATTTCCGCCGCCGTCCCCTGCAAAACATATATTGGCAGTACTGGCGAGACGGCAAGGCTCGGTGAAGCCGAATGAGGTATCTATTTCGGAGGGAAACGAGATCGAAGGGCCAGGCCTCGACAAGAGCTTTGGATTCTCCAAGAATTTTAGGAACAAGTATGAACTTGGAGGAGAGGTTGGAAAGGGGCATTTTGGGAACACATGCAGAGCGACGGTCAAGAAAGGGGAACTTAAGGGGCAGCAAGTTGCTGTGAAAGTCATCCCTAAATCAAAGGTGTGGTTTATTTCTTCCCGACTTTGTACTCAATTTAGCTCCTACTTTGCATTAATATATTGCCCTTTATGAGTTTGTGATGTTYTGAAGAAGGATGAATCACTTGTTAATCTTGATATTTCTGAGGCTATGTCGATGAGATCTGGTAATATTATGAGCTAGTAATCAGAAACATCCTCTTACAGATATCCGAATGTCATGGAAAGCTTAGGTGTTAAGAAGAATTGTCTGCATAGATCAATTMTTTCATTCTCATCAGTCACAATTTGTTGGCAAACCATAGACTTTTTGAGGTGCATTTRAATGTCAAAATTTTAAAATTGCCTTAGTATGGTGCTGTTCACAGTGCGTTGACTCCACCTAACCTATTAGAAATCTAGAACATGAAATAGTGGAATGTGTTTTGTGCRTTGGTAAATGATATCAACTGCTGAGAATAACATATGTTCATAGGTGCTCCTCCACAAACTATTTTGATTTTTATTCTTTTGTAATTTAGAAGATACTAGTATTCTCGCCTTGGGCAGGTGCRGTTGCCCTTGGGTATAGGGGAGAAAAGCTCCGACTCCTAGTTATCAAAATAATAAAAATAATAAGTTACTGGTATTCTGAACCTCTTATTAAATATTTTAATGTTCATTTTGTATCTTATTTGAGTAGTATATAATATATTACTTTGATCTTGAACTTCTGTGAAAGTCTGCGGCATCTTTTTGAATTGGACTTCTGGTACTTTTTTCTGTTAACTAATCCTTTTTCATGAATTGTTGACAGATGACCACTGCCATTGCCATTGAGGATGTAAGAAGGGAAGTGAAGATACTGAAAGCTTTGAGTGGACATAAAAATTTAGTCCATTTCTATGATGCATATGAAGATCATGACAATGTCTATATAGTAATGGAGTAAGCTCCAAACTCTTATTTATAATGAATATATGTGTTTGTGGCACTGTTTTTATGCTCTGCAAATTACTTCTCACCCCTTTTGATTCTGACTAATTTGTAACGAAGTTTCATTTCGGGGGACTGTACTTATGTTCTATGCGATTTTCAGGTTATGTGAAGGAGGGGAGCTCTTGGATAGAATACTCTTCAGGTATCAATTGCATCACTTTTTTCCTGCATTATCTCCAAGGAGTCATTCTACTTAATGGATTTTGGGCCTTTTAAAGGACTTGAAGTTGGCTGGTCGATGATGTTTTTATTTTCCATTATTGCAGAGGTGGGAAATATACAGAAGATGAAGCAAGATCAGTMTTGATACAGGTCCTGAATGTTGCTGCATTTTGCCATCTCCAAGGGGTGGTGCACCGGGATCTTAAGCCCGAGGTAAACTGATAGCAATTTTGTGCTGAATCTGTCTGGAGTTATATTGTTTGCTATCCCATATAATTTCATAACATTGCTCAGATACTCGTTCATTTGGAATTCTAGAAGATACCTACTCCAAAATCCTAATTTCCTATATGGTTAATTTTCCTTCTATTCATAACAAATCCCCATTTGTTGTGCAACCTTACTTTTCCTCTTTCCCTCCTGCCATATATGTATCTTCTCTCCATGATGGAATATAAGGGTTGTGGTGGAAACTGTACGCCAGCCATATTTAGTGCTCAGCCTTGCTAGACTAGTTATACTTCCCTTTCTTTCCCTATTCCACCAGCTATCCTAATGTTCATATTTTTTTCGTTTACAAATTGTTACCTGAATCCTAATGTAGTTTCTTTCTGGATCAGAACTTTTTATACATGTCGAAGGATGAAAGTTCACAATTGAAGGCCATAGATTTTGGTTTATCAGATTTTGTAAAACCAGGTTTGATTTATTTTCTTTTTTCTTCCAAATCCTAAAAGAAACTGCTTTTGCCTTTTAATGGTTCTTGAAAGTTTTGTATAATTGTGACCTTGTGATTTATTTGCAGATGAAAGGCTCAACGACATTGTTGGCAGTGCTTATTATGTAGCTCCTGAAGTTCTCCGTAGATCTTATGGCACAGAGGCCGACGTCTGGAGTATAGGTGTGATTGCATATATTCTGCTGTGTGGCAGCCGTCCATTTTGGGCTAGGACAGAATCTGGCATTTTTAAGGCAGTTTTGAAAGCGGATCCAATTTTTGAAGATCCACCTTGGCCATCTTTATCTTCTGAATCTAAAGATCTTGTTAAGCGCCTACTGAATAAAGACCGAGAGAAAAGAATGACAGCCGCTCAAGCTCTAAGTGAGTGAATTAAAACTTTAAAGTGCTTCATTCTTTTTTATTTCTACCTCTTCTTATCAACTCAGGTGTTTCCATGCAGGCCATCCTTGGTTTAAAAATTGTAAAGAAGTAAAAATTCCTCTTGATATACACGTGCTTAAGCTCATGAGAGTTTATATGTGTTCATCATCTCTCAGAAAAGCTGCTCTAAAGGTATGTACTGTGCCATTCTATTAACTTTTTTCTTTTTCCTTCATGCGGCCTTTTTCTTTATGTATTATCTATTAGTCTGCATCTGTTGTTCTCATTTCTCTTAAATAAACTACTCTTCTATTCCCCCATAACCTGTTCTAGTTTTTTTTATAGTTCCTTTCCTATGGTATTGTGCAGGCATTGTCAAAGACATTGTCTGTAGATGATCTCAACTATTTTAAAATTCAGTTTGCACTGCTGACACCAAACAGAAATGGCACCATAAGCTTGGAAAATATAAAAGAGGTTTGTATCATCTCTCTTCTTTCCTTTTCCTGCCTTTGCCATTTTTTCTGAGATCACATTGTTTTACTCTGTCCAGACCTTGATGAAAAATGGAACAGAGGCCATGAAGGAATCGCGARTCACTGACTTTTTAGCATCGGTAAGATATTTGAAGTGTTCACTGCATAATATCGTCTTAATAGTTTTGTAAAATCATAATTAGATTACCTTTCTTTCCTGCCAGCTCAATGCATTGCAATTCAGAAGAATGGATTTTGAGGAGTTCTGTGCAGCTACAATTAGTGTCCATCAATTGGAGGACCTCAGTCACTGGGAACAACTTGCTCGTGGTGCCTATGAACTTTTTGAAAAGGACGGAAATAGGGCTATAATGATCGAGGAACTAGCTACGGTATGTTCAATCGATAACATGTTTACTAAGTCGTAATTTGACCAAAATTGATAAAATTTTTGGATGTGAGAACTTAGATTTCTATCGATGAAAAAGATCAAACCTTTAACAATCACCMCGTTCTGAAACTCTGGTTTCTGATCTTGTTTACTCTTCAGGAACTCGGTCTGGGCCCTTCAGTCCCAGTTCATGCCGTTATCCACGATTGGATTCGACACACCGATGGGAAGATGAGCTTCCTTGGGTTTGTCAAACTATTACATGGGCCATCAGGCCGAACTGCTAGACGTCCATAACAGGGGTCGTGTTCAAGTAGAAATCAATCTCAAAACTATTGATTACCCTCTGCCTTGGTTAAGTGTAGATTGCAGAATGAGAGGTGGCTAAAAGATTTGGTGTCTATGTTTCACCGGAGCTGCCATCGTTCCCGATCGTGCCGATCGCTCATCTTCAAGCAGCAGAGACTGCAAATCTCAACAGTACTATATCCATGTGATAATRAAGATGAAGAGTAGGTTTAGGCGTTCACAGGTCCCATTTTTAATGTACAGGTGTTGTAAAATATGTTCAGTTTCAGGTGATTAGAAGATTACATTACAACATTTCTGACGATTCAAGAAACGATCTTGTTGAGTTCTCTCTTCTTTACTTGGTGACTCACTGAGATCATAAACCTAATTCTTCATCAAAGAATTCAATGAATTCTTACTGAAGTTTTCTTTGGATGTATTATTTAGAATTAAAAAAAAAAACAGCGAAGGATATACCTACAACAAATATATATAATTTTCACTATTAAACAAATATGTGACGTTTCATCTGTCAAGAAGGATCTATGTAAGACATCGACAAATTGAAGATTACATTATTGGTGCTTAGTGCTTTGGTGTTTTAAGACCAATTATTGAAGAATTAAAGTTAGCTTAGCATCACTTAAATGCAGAGACAAAATACGATAAGGTGACTATTAGTCAAAATTTAGCCCTATATTTCTATTTGGTCAACCACTAACAAAAGGATGATGTTGTACTAAAGAAACAAAAACAAAAGGATGATGTTCATTATAAATTGGCTTTAATATTGATGTTGCAAAAAATGATGTTATGATTCTTAAAAAGAGGTTTTTTAAATAGCAATGACATGTACATCTTGAGAAGCTCTAAAATCTATTGCACTCCAAAACAGTAAACACCTTCCCGTCCATGTGTCATCTTCAAGAACCACCAAACTAGAGAAAAATCAACTTCCACTAATTTAAATATTATTTCTTTAAAAAATAATAATAATATTTCTAAAGAACAGAGCATTAAATAGAGAAGAAAAAGTCGAGGAAAAGGAGCGCCCCACGAAACCCCACCCTGTCATCTACTGATGGGCCCTCGTGAGAGGGTCCATGGAGGACAAGTAGATCCAATCACAACACCAACATAAATCAATTATCATTAACAAACCCCAATTCAATCATAAACACTAATCAATCCAATCCAGTCTCAACATCATATTTACAAAAACCAAACAGTAGTAGTAATAGTAATCAACAAAACCAGTAGTCAATGAATCCCCAGAAAGAAAAAATCATAGCCAAATTGGAGCATCTTCCTTCTTCTTTAAGGGTAAGAAAAAGCTTTGGATTTTGACAGGCAGGTGGGGGATTCCGAAGGACACATCTGTGAACCTAAATGATTGGTTCCGTTTGGTGGCAGAATAATATAAAAAAATGTGGGTCAACCACAGAGCACGACATTTCCTTTTGGTTTAATTTTCTGTAGAATAAAAACTAGAACTAGAACTAGAACTAGAACTAGAACAATCTGGGGTTTGAAGGTCGTAGATCAATTTCCTGGGTCCAAGCGGTCCGGTCCTGAAGATGCAAGTGCCAATAAGTGTGAGCCAGCGCATCTGGGTCCATACTCCCATCTCCAATAATCCCACTCTGTAAATGAGATCCAACCGATGATGTTGATGACGACGATGACGATGATGCTCCTCCTCTGTGACACGTTGGACTTGTCCTGAAATCAATCTCTTCAAATTCATTTCGAATCTGGGCGTGTTTGGATGCCGAGAAAATAGAGGGAAAAAACGGAGTATCGGATTCTGGGTGGGAAAAGAAGAAAGAAATAAAGAAATTAAACCTTGGTGGGCCAATGACACCGTCAATGATGATATGAGCGACGTGTATTCCCAGGGGTTGGAGCTCTCTGGCCAGGCACTGAGATAATGCTCTTAATGCGAATTTTCCACAGCCTGTCTCAAATCGTACCCACACAGACAAAACAAATCAATTTTAAATATCAATTCTCTCCTCTTCCTCAATCATCAGGGATACTGATTTGATTTTATTATTGGGCAATTATGTGAGAAAAAGGTTATRGATAATTACGTCAAGGCTTTCAAATTAAATTATAGACTCAAAATATCTCTGAAAAGACATTACACTGCGTGAGATTCTCTCCTGTGCAAGGAAAAAGATCTTCAGGAAAACAAAATTGATTCCATTTTCTTTTTGTTGACAGAAACAGGGAATGTGCAGAGAGTGGAACTCACAAAGGTCAGAGAAACCAGCAAGGCCATTCAGAGAAGCAGAGCAGCCAGTAAACAGAATCGTACCCCTCCCTCTTTCCACCATGCCGGGAAGAACCTAAAATTTCACCACAAAGAAAAATTTAACGAAATGGGTCGAAACTAACGAACTAAAGAATGTTTAAGGGATTCTTGAATTGAAGAGATGGAAATGGAAAGAGGGACTAGTACCTGCTGGGAGCAATGGAAAGCTCCCACTGATGAAACAGCAAGCGATTTCTCAAAAGACTCGAGACCAACGTCGATGAATCTAGTTGGCTGCCGAGAAACTTGTTGATTAGCGTTGTAAATCAGAACCTCCACAAATCCCAGAGATAAAACACCTTCAAATGCCTCCTTCACACTCCTGGAGTCGGAGCAATCTATTCGAATCGCAAACACTTGAGCCTTCTCTTCCCTCGCTATCTCATCCGCAAATCTCGATAGCCTACCTGAAAAATTTTGCACAAGCGAATTGAAATCCCTCACAAAATCCCAAATTCAAAAATGTAATTGAAGACGGGAAATAGGAGAGAGTACCCAAGTCTCTGGCGAGAATAGCGACGGTGTAGCCCTCGTGGGCGAACTTGCGAGCGACGGAACGGCCGAGCTTCGGCCCAACGCCAACAATGGCGACGATGCCTCGGCTGGAGCTTGAGCTCCCCATATTGCGCATCTTGGAAATAGAGAAGCACAAAGCAAAGCAGAGGCACAACAGAATCGTAGTGAATTAGAGAAGAAACCCACCAAGGAAACGAAATCGTTTTTCTACTTCGTCCTGAAAATTGAAGAAATGAACAACTGGGTGAGGGGGAATATGGTTGTTATAGAAGAATGAAGAAAGATGAGTGAATTCAGTAGAATAGAAGATGATGTTCTGTATCGTTGTGTGAGTTCATTGGGAATGCCTCCATTGGARTTTGGAATTTGGAATTTGGAATTGGGATTTGGGGTTTTAGAGGGTTCTTTGGGTTTCCCCTTTTCTCCTATAAAACTTTCTCCCCACTGCCAATTTGTCACACCCTCCATAATCACTCACCATCTACCCTTCCCCTGCCCTCGCTCCAAATACAAATGAACGACTGAATTTGTATTTAAAATTGATAATAATAGAATTGCCTTTTCGTTTTTATCAAATCAAATATTATTATAAATATGTCTCTATTATTTTTTCTTCTTAAAAAAAATTACTTTTCCATTATATTTTCCTTTGCTTTCAACCTCTTACTTCTACGTTTTTAATGCCATAATTAGTTGCTAGTGTGTGTTTGTTTGTTTATTTTAGGTAAATTTATGTTTAGTGTTTATTGCTTAGGTGTTTCTTTTCTTCTTTAAATTTAATTCAAATTTGTTTCAATATTTTTTAGTTTCATGTGTTTGAGGTGAACTATCGACTGCTATGTATCAATATTAATGGTTATCAGAATTAAATGAGTCTTCTGAATGGATTTAAGTTCTGACTGTTCAGTGTTCGAAAATCCAAGTGTTCGAAAATCCAATTGTTTACCCGATTTTTGATAGGCATAAGCCGATTCTGAAGAGCACAAACAAGCGCAAAGGTAAGATTCTTCGACAAGACGTCATGATTTTTAGACGATCTAAGAGCCATTAAAGTACTGTCGAAAATCTAGTCAAGAACTCACTTCTATAAATAGAGATTTTCACCTCCCATATTCTCATTAAAGCACGGAAGTCCAAAATATGCAAAAATATATTCTCTCRAATTTACATCGAATTTTGTATTGATTAAGACSTCAGAGTTCTAATCTATTTTGTAGGTCCTTCMTACGCCAATGTCTCCGAATCCAAGCTTGATGAATTTTCGGATGAAACATAGTTTTTCATTATTAATAGATATTAAAATACCCAATCATAAATTTAGATGACACAAATCCGATAAATTTAGGAAAGAAAAAAAAACAGTATTTATGTATATAGTGATGTGTGTAAAACTCTAGAAAAAAAACGCCATTCAAACCGAACATAATTCTTTCATTGAAATTTTGAGAAGTTACAAATTTATTTATGTATTTGGAGATAGCAACAAAAAAGATTAATGCTGTCTCAATCCTAATTTATTTTAATTTGGACTACATGTCGTCTTCTATTGACTAGGATGAAGCCACAATAAAAGATTATAATACAAAGTCTCTCTACACACAACCATTCATGTGAAACTAACATATCTCCTACTATTCCTCCCAAAAATAAAATTAAAAAAAAATTTCATACCATATACTTTCTATAAATCATAAACTCATACGGGTGCATAAATCCTAGTTTTTTGTTTTATTTTCTATTTAATTTATTTGAAAACATTTATGAGTTGTTCTTCAAAATTTGAAAAGAATAAGAATGGTCTGGAACTACATTCCTTTTCTAGTTTTTAGAAATTTGGTTAGAATTTAAAATATGATTTTGAAAAGTAACAATTATCAAATTAGTCTTATAAGGTTTATAAATTAATTTATTTTGAGTGTGTGAAGTGCTTTTCTGTTTCCTTTCATATAAACATGATATTATACTATTTATATTTAAAAATGACTGTTAAACGTTAATTACGTTTCTTCAAAAAAAAAAAAAAACGTTAATTACGTACCTGACACAACCTTTTCTCCTTGCTACAGTTTTTAGCTAATATTATACCTAGGGTTTCTTAATCTATCTTTTGTCCTTTTGTTTTCTTACAACATATATTTTAAAATAACTTTAGATCATTGCTATTATTATTGTTATTGATGTTTTTGAAGTATAAATAATATTTTTATTAAATGCATTACTAAAAATATAAATTATCACTATTCACTCCTATTATAAATCTTTGTTAAGTCTTTTATCTTTTCGAGATCGTTGACATAAAATCACACTTTTCTTATTTATTTTAAAACCTTTCTTATCATGACGGGAGAAGATTAAAAAAAAGAAAATCTTTATAAAACTTATATGATCAGAAATTAAACTTAAAATACCAAAAYYAGTATAYAATTAGTATATGTCACCATTGCGAGTTAGATTCTCATTCCGMCGTGTACTAAAAAAAATTGAACTTCGCTTTTTTTTTCTTTCCCTTTCTAAGTCCACCAAATAATGGAAATTGAATGTTTAACTTCTAAAAACAGTAATAAATGATTTATCAACTAAAATTATGATAGACTGGTTTGCGTTCCACGTACCTAAAAATTAATTTTCTATAAAATTAATTGATCGGGGTGATTGTCCCGTCAAATATTTGAGTTATGTAATTAGGTTAGCGTTTCGATCAACTCTATAATTTTTAAAAATAAATAAACCCACCGGCAGGGGCAATAAATGATCTGATTCCTGGCTTTCTGAATCCTGCGGCTGCTGACAAAAGCCACCGTGGCGACTGACAGCACCGCCAACGTGGCTTCCAGGCTTACGTATACGTGTCCACTCCTGCCGGTCTTGGTCCAATTATTAATTAACTTAGAATTACTAAACATATAAATGCCAGCGTAAAAAGCATACAGTGTCTGAATTCTTACACCGTTATTTTACTTAATCAGTCTTTATAATGGTGTCCAGAAAATATGAAAGTAATAAAAAAAAGTAAGGGTTTAAAGCAAGTACAGTGGTGTGCACAGTATTGTAGTTGTCCCGCACGCGACGGGAGGGTGGGTTGGGGTGGATGGATTCTGTCGGATTTCTATTGACGGAAAAGGAAATTCTAAATTTACAAAATTAGACATAACAGAGAAACAACTTTGGGTACCAAATAACCAAACACAATAATTTAACTTCTATGCAAAGTCCTTTAATAATCGTAGAATGCTGAAAATTAAACTATATATAACGAACAATATTAATATCATTATATGTTCTTAAAAAAAAAAAAATCTAAAACTACATCATGTATGCTATGGTATGGTATTGTCCACTTTGAAACTAATCTCATCACTTTACTTTTGAGATCATTCTCTTCTTTAACCAACATTTTGTAATCCAACAATTCTCTCTATGTCACTTGTATACGTGATTGACAATGAAAGTCAATTTCTATCCAACAAATCTAGATAGAGTAGTTGCTACACGAATGATATTGTAGGAATATCATGCACCCCGTTGAGTATTGCGAAAATTTGCAGACTGTACATTGATATTTATCAAGTGATGGATCTAAGATTACAACCAATTTTAGTCAACGTTAACATTGACTGAATTTGATGTATGTTCCTATTTATCATTACGCTAAAACAGATTCAATATCCACATCAACTACAACAACAAATAATATTAGAAAAAAAGAAGATTTTTTTATGTGTATGAGAAAGAAAACAAGTGTGGATAAGAACACCAGGTAGACATGCAGTGTGAGTGTGTGTGGAATTTGAAAGATCTATATTATTCGAAAGAGGCAGGAGTGGGGAAAAGGGAAAGATAGTGGAAGATGGGATTTGATTTCAATCATGGAAAAGAAAAAGAAATAAAAAAAAAAGGGGGGGACCATATACCATATACCATTACCCAACCCAAAAAGTTCCTCTTTTTGGAACCTTCAATTCAATTCCCTCTTCCCCTTTCTTTACCACCTACTTGTTCTTCTTCTTCTTCTTTGACCACTTCCACTACCTCTCTAATTTACCAACATATTGGATATATTCTACCTCTTTAGCTCTATTAACACCTTTTGTTTCCCCTCTTCTTCCTTTCTTTTAATTTTAAAGTTTTATTTTTTTGCCGTTCATCGTTCATCATCCTACTACGATCAAAGTCTCAAGTTGATTACATCATAAGAAGAAAATCATTGGATATATAGGGGAACGATAACATCCCAAAACAAAAAATAAAGTCATAAAAGTTATGTAAAGATCAGCGAGCAAGTATCATATTATTAATATTTATTATCTCAAAATCCATTCTAATATGATCGAATAATGTAATTTTTTAGGATGTGAACTCTAATAACCAAACCCTAAATGATTAAGTTGAGATACAAATATCTCACTTTCTTTTTATAGAATCACTAGTCCTCTCTGAAAATGTAAGTTACAAAATTTAGAACAAAACTATATATGTTGAAAGGGTAATTTGAAGGTAATTAAAATCTTAGAAAACAGAATTAATCCTCCAAACCAACCGTGCAATCCCATCATCATCCATTATCCTAGTGGATCCTGAATTAAGTTGGTATTCCTGTAGAACAGACTTGTGGAATCAGAATGCCTTTATTATTATTGTGGTTTGGATGAGGGGTGGTATAGGTACTGGGCAGCAATTATTACAAAATTATATGAGGAAAAGCGAAGCAATTTATGGTTTAAAAGGAAATCTTGACAAATATAATTCAATGGGCGATGTCCCAAAAAGAGAGGAAAAAATAAAAATAAAGAAAACAGTAGCACTACCCCCACCTTTACTGTGCAGTCTTAAATGTGGTCACATGGGCAGATCTCCACCGCCACCGCCACCGCCGCTCATCTCCGGATACACCTCCACCTCTTCACCATTTCATGCTCATATATAATGCTGCATTATTATTATATACAATATTATTATTGGAATATCATAATATATATATCACTCCCTCTCTCCATGAAGTTTATTTTTCTGTTCTTTAGATTTTAACAGAACTGAATACCTGGGTTCCTCATCCTCTACTCACACTGAATGCTGAGGTTGGAATGGTAATTCACTTCTTTTTTTTAATTTGAGGTGCATGTTAATGGATTCCTATTACCAAATGTTTCACAACTAGGAGAAGAATACAGATTTTTTTTTTGGAAATTTTAAGGATTTTATATTTATTATTTTATTTTATTATGTTATTTTACTTATTTAACTTGGTAAGTAATTCTTTCTAATAAATAGGAGGGAGTGACTGCAACTTGTTAAACATGGAGGGAGTGTTTCCTAATAAAAGGGGTAGAATCTTAACGCTGTCCAAAAAAGAGTTTTCACATGTATTCCGAGCAGAGTTTCCCACAAATTATATTTCAGTAAAATATAAAGAATTTTGTTTTGAATTTTATGGTTTTGAGCATACAAGCAATTGGGTGTTCGTAAGAGAACTTAACTGCTACATAAGATCTCTCGAAGGATTATTGTATCTTCCTAGTGAGGTGCCAAATAACTCAGAACAGTGTGGTCACATCTTCTCTATGGACAGCACGTAGAAACGTGCCTCAATCTAAAATTTACAGGCTTTTCCTACCTCTATATTTTGTTGTAATTTAATTAAATTAAATGTTTATATTTATTATTTCATAAATTTCATTTCCCTAACATATTTTCAACATTTTTTTTTATAAATTAATGAGTTGCCAATTTTTTTTAATGATAGCGAGGACAAGATTTGATCCTCACGGGTTAGGAGTCAAAGTATTGTCTTTCCAGATATTGGTTTGGTTCAACTAGAAATACATATAAGGTAAGAAAGAGAGAATTGAATTGGGATTTAAATTTTTTTACCTACTGATTATGGGTGTTGTGTGGTTGAAGTTTTGAAATCACAATCGAGTGTGAGTTCCCATTCTCTAGGGAAATTTTCTTCCCTCCATTCATGATTAGCCATAAATGCAACATTTTAAGAATAATGTATATGTCTATTGAATAAATTAATATATTATTTAATATTGTTTTAAATGTGAATGAAATTAGTAAGTAATATGATAATATTAAAAAGTATTTTCTTTTTCTATGAATAAAAGATATGGCTATGAATGATTGACGCGTTGAAAAAGACACCACTCTTTGAGGTACGTTTGTTAATGAGAAAATCTGGAAATACCATATAATCGGATATGGTTTATTAGATTAAAATTTATATTGGGCTTGTATTGACCCATCAAGTTAGATTTTTAGACCGACCCATTTTAATAGTTGTTTCTAAGCCTTTTTCTAAAATATTTTTCAGACTTTTTAAAACTATATTGCATTAAAACTTATTAGAACAATATTTTCAATTAAATTTTCAGTAAATTTGTATTTTTTCCTCAATAAAGTACTTAAACTTTATTTTAAAAAAGAATAATTTATTATTATTTTACCAATATAATTTTTTAAAAGCAGGTTTATTATGCATGTATGTATGTATTTTTGTATTGGATCTTCAAGTTTGAGCTTAGTCTAATGGCTCGGGCTAATGAATTAATCCAAATACGAGCCAAATTTGGCAGTTTAAGAAAGAGAATTGTGCCCAGAGGCATGTATAAAATTAGTTGGATTGAACATTGATTTTGGTCCAGCCCTGTAGGCCGAGGCCATTCGATGAGGTCGGCGTGCAACATATCTGAGTAATTACTAAAAAGGTTTTCAAAGTTTTAACTTTTTCTAATTTTTAAAATTTAGTTAGAATTTTGTAAACGTTTAAAAAATTATATTACAACTTGTTATCAGGTTTTTCAAAATAAAAAACAAAATTATATTATCAAATCAACTATACTCAAAATTTCAAATGTTGGCATCAATGGAAAAGTTGGATCTCAATTTAATAAAAATATTGATGGAAATATCGGTTAAAGTGATGGATATTTTTATAAAAGTTAGAAAAAAATTACAAAAGTATTTAAATTAATTAAAAATATATATACATATTGCTAAATAAATTAAGAATAATTAATATTAATATTACGTATATACTAGTGATATTTTGATAATATTTTTCAACATTTATTGGTTTTTGTTCTAATATATCTCTCATGTCCATGTCGAATCAATTGATACATGTAAAGATCAATATGTCGACGGATATTTAGTACCATAACCATTTGACAGACAAATTCCAATTCTCCTATCTATATATATATATAGAACCAACTAATTGAAGCAAGATTTTTCAATTTGCTACACTAAAAATAGAATCTGAGTGTTTAAAATTATTCCCCAGAACTAAACTTTTATTCAACCAAATCCCATAATCAATACAAAATCATAACCAAAAAAACTAATCGCTATGTATCCTTATTCTCTAGTGCAACTGTGTCTTGTATGTTTACAGTATATAAACCCAGCAGCACATTCAACTTTCAAAGAACATTGAGGATTGGAGAGTTGAAACACAGGCAAATAAATGATTAAACAAAAAATATATATATATATGATAGAAAAAGGTTTCCTCTCATCTGTGTAAGAGCATTCTGAAGCTGAAATTATATGGCATTATTTGGACTAATTGTGAAACGGGCTCTCTTCCTTTCCTCTCAAGGCATTTTACAGCCTCAGTTCTCAGCTCATTTGGAAGTTGGAAGCAAACCCAATCCAACAGTGACTCCAAATCCTTTGCAAAGTCAAGCAGATACCAATCCAAAAGCTTTGGAATCTTCAACTTATTTGCCTTTGAAATCCCAACTGCTGCCTCTAAATATTCCCTCTTTGCTATTTCTAACTCCTCTTCAATTTTACCTCCTGTGTACACCCTCACCTTCATTTCACACAAGTTTTATACATGCATCAGTAAAAACCAACTTCCAAATTTGGCCTAATTTCAGTTAAAAATGGAGAGATTATAGTAAAATCTGTAGGGGGCTTATGCCTAAAATCAACAATATCATAACTTTAATGTGCTAATGCAGCATACTTACAGCAGGAGACGACCAGCTTCCGCAACAGAGTGCAAAAGTAACCAACGGTTCAGAACATTCCAATCCGAACACACTGCGCACTCTCATCTCGTCGTTCTTTACTGCTTTCGGGCAGGTCTGGAGTTCATCGACGAAAATGCAGCGAAACGATGACTTAGCATTGGATTTTACAAAATTTGAAAGACTTCAGAAGAAGATTGGGGAATCTAAAAGTGTGTTGAAAAGTTCAATGGAGCTGGAAAAGGATGGACTCACAAACTTCAGATGATAAGGAAGTCTCAAGATGAAATGCTCAATTGTTATTGCATTTAGAACGTGTCCTCCCACAATAATTGTTGCCTGACATGAGAAGAAAGATTTTAGTTTGAATGTAACGAACCGCGAGAATTGGACCGAGATTAGGCTTCCTGTTCCAGTTGAGGATCTTAAAAAACTCTATGCAATTTAAATCTGCATTTGATGGTAATGCAGATAATGCAAACAAGACAGCATATTGATTTTACCTTTTGCATCAGTGTTACTACTCTTTCATGAGTCTCAGGTATACCGTGCTCTAAAAATGCCTAAAGTCAGACACAATGCAGCTGTGTTAGATTCTTGATTTAGGACTCTAATTAACATGTAAGTGAAGATCTTGTATTGTAATCTTCCTGATGTAAAATGGATCATAGTTACCCACATTCATCATGCAGGAATTGTAGGTGTTGATCCAGAAAGCTAGCTTCTCCTGATGGTTAAGACCTGCCAAGTTAACCGAGGCGAGCCTCTGGAACAAGTTTCTGTGAAGTATAACAAAATCACTTCATTAAGATAACAAAACTAACAGAAGTTTTCAGACAAGAAAAAACATCCAGGTAACTTACTTAAGCCTATGAATTAGAAAAACTACATTAGTTGATCGGTTGAGATCCACGGAACTAGCTTCGATCGCACAGAGATGTCTGTAGGGACCAATGTTTCTAGATTTGAAATCTGAACAGACATCATAAGGATCTTGCAACTCTGCTGTTCCGTTTGCTTCAGACGAGTCCATAGCTTTTTCCTTTGATGAACTCAGTCTTATGAAAATGGATGACAAACACTTCACAATGTCTTCAGAAATTTTGTTAGGTGAGCTGCTAGCCTCTATATCATCTGACAAACAAGATGAATTGTCCTTTGCTCTTTCTCTTTCTAGTCTGAAATCCAGCTGAACATTTTGTAGGAAGTCAATGAGTAAACTGAAAATTTAGTATGGTGAAGATAAATTCAGATTGGTAACAAGCAAAAACCTGAAACTTCAAAGGACTTGAGTTCTTCTCCAAAAATTCTTGCTTCAAAGGAGACTTCTTTAGTGGGCTTATGATTCTATCAACTTTCTTATCAGGAGATGGCTTATTTTTCATAGAATTTGCATATGATTGATTCTCTTTTCCTAGCCCATCTTCTGGAAGAAACAAAAAGGAACTCGGTTTCCCAAAAGCATGTTTGGCATTGGAAAACCTGTTAGAACAGTTACCATTACGATCGAAGATGTTGTCATTCGATAACAGCTTTCGACTCGAAGAACATCTGGCCAGTGAAGGCTGCAGCCTGGCTGTTGAGTTTACAGAATTGAGCTCATTTTGGCAAAATGACTTCGTTCTTCGATGCTTCGGAATTCTTGTCGAGATAGGCTCCATTGTATCTACGGAATTGTCCAAATTCTTTGTGGAGGATGATACATATACAGCTTCCTGATAAAGTCCTTGTCTGAAATTGACAACCTGTTCTTCTAGCCTAACAACCTCTTCCTCTAAAACAGCTACTTCAGCGAGAAGTTCTAATATCTGCAACAAGGAAGGAAAAAGGAAAATTCAAAATTCAAAGTGATTTCAGTCCAATCCTTCACCATTCTTAAGAATGGAAGAAAAGAATCAGAGAGGATGTGATAAATGGAAGTTGCAGGTTCTACTAACATAAGGAGGGAGATATGGAGGAAGACGAGGGAGAGCTCCTAAAGGTCTAGTAAAAGCCCTTTCCAATGCCTTGTGAACATTCTCTTCATGTCTGAGCTTCTTCTTCAGCTTATCAACCTGCAAATTTGAAAATTACAGAACCATCAAACGAGTTCATCAGTGGCATTTTCCCCTAAAATGGCAGTTGGAGGACAAAGCACTTGATTACATCTTGTAGCAATGCCATTTTCCTTTCCCAGTTTGATTTGCGCCGATTTATGATAGTCCCAGATTTGTCATTCCCCATCGCCTTGCTCCTCCCAGTCTCTAACTTTTTCACCTTCTATCCAAATTCAGCAAAAGAAAAAAAAAAAAAAAAAGAAGTGCATCAGAAAGAACAACAATGGCAGAAGAATTTAATGGGATAGTTTTAAACTTCAAATTTATTCAAGAGAAATCCTAAAACCAAATAAATGGAAATGCAGGCTGATATTCTGAAGAAAGTAATTTAAAGTTGGAACGAATAAGGCCCTTCACAAGGAAAGGAGAGAAAAAAGAAAAAGAAAAAGAAAAGTAAAGAAATGAAAATTACCTTGTCATGATTCAAAGTTTCCACGGTTTGAATGCTGGCGCGGACTCTGGCATTCATCTTTACTTTTACTGGGAAAAAGAGAAGGAAAGGAAAGGAAAGGAAACGGAAATTCCACCTAAAATCAATATTCCCAAGAAAAGTCGAAATGTATCAAAACAGATGAACAACAGAGAGCGGGAAACTTGAAAGACAGAGAGCGAAGCAGAAAATGAAAATCACCTGGAAAATGGAATAAAATGAAATGATAGTTTTCCTTTTGGGGGGTTTCTTCTTTATTTTTTAAAGAAAAGGGTAATGGGATTTATGAATCTCGAAGAGAGTGAAAGGAGAAAGGAGTAAAAGTGCGGCAGAAGAAGATGCAGAAAACGACGAGGTTTCGAGGCGAAAAAGCGCCTTCCAAGAAGAGAGTTGCAGAGCAGAGCAGATAAACAAGAAAACCCAACTGCAAAATTTCATAATAATAATAAACAAATGAGCAATTCAGCAAAAGTAAAGCCAAATACAGAAAAATACATAACTACAAGAATGGGTTTCAGAATATACAAGTCCAGAAGTTAGCAATAAGCAAAAAGAGAACTGGTTTTGGCTTAGAGGTTAGAGCTTAGAAGTTGTTGCAGAGCAGAGGGAGAGCATCTTTTTTATTTTTATTTTGAAGCTGAAGCTTTTGTGCCAAATTGCCAATGAGAGGGAGAGAGATGGAATTGTCGGAAGCTGTTTGGCGTACAGTGGGTGACAAAGGAGGGATTGTCCGAAGCGCTTTTTTGATGGGTCTGCATTTAACTTCACACCACGCTCCCATTCACAAATCAAAATCCAATCTTTATTACTGCTTTTCAGTTCAAAACCGCTTTTAATCTCATCTTTTGTTATTGCTAATCTCAAATCAAATCACCAGGAGTTTACATCACATTCTATTCTATTGACTATTACTGACCTTTTCAATTATAGTATCGTCGTCTTCTCTCTCGATTCAACTTATTTTCTGTTTTTGGAGGGCCAGCCAAGGGTAAGAAAAAGGCTACTCTTTTTCCAACAGTTTTGGGATGGTCAGGTTGACTAAATTTTAATTTTTGTCGTTAAATTATATAGTAGATTTGATTGTTTTTCAGTTTTATGTTCTAAATCTTTTTAAATTTTAAATAAGGCTATCTATCCAATAAAAAGTTAAAGTTAATAAACATTACGACTTTCTTCTTTAAGGTCGCTTCATCTTTCCTTTACGTTGCATTAAATAGCATGTCAAGTAAATTTATCATTAGTCATTTCGGATATAGTTAAATTGGTTAATGCACAAATTTTTAACTAAAATATACGGTACATATTGTACTYAAAAGAAAATAAATAAATTTATCACTAGTCAATTTTAATATTCACCGACAAGAAGAAATTTAATAAAAAAATGTTAAAATATAAAGTATTAAATTGAAACTTTTTAAATAATAGAGATTAAATTGAGGGGAAAATGCTTAAATAGTAAAGATTATAATATATATTTAATCTTTAGAACATATGGACAATTTTGTTTTTTAGAAGATTAAGGAAAAAATCAATTTTAACCACGAACTTGACGAGGTGTATTAATTTTTATTATAAACTTTCAATTTCATCAAACTGCATCTTAAACTTGGAGAGGTATTTTAATCTTCAAATTTAAATAAGGGTTCAAACCTTATTCTTCTGGTAGTTTTCTTTTTTTTTTTTTTTAAATTTGTTGAAAAAAAATATTTTCATATGTGTTAGATGAATTACAAAATACATGTTAGTATGAAATTGATATGATTCAAACAAAAACGACAATCTAAAATTTTTTCTTTATTGAAATTTATAAGTTTTGACAAAGTTATTAACTAGTTGATTATGAGTATTAATCACTTACTTGTGTGCATAAGTTAATTTTCATTAAATTAAATGAGCATTGGGGGCTTTTTACATTTTTGTATTAAAATTTATGGGAGAATTATAAGAAATTGAAGAGATGGTATAAATTGCAATATTCATCTAAGTCTACAATTCATTGTGATAAAATAAAAAGTGTAAAGTGAAAATTGATTAAATTAAGTGGTTATGTTTAAGAGTAAAAAATAATTTGCTCTAAAACACGGGTAAAAAATAATTTAAAAAAACGGTTATCATTTATCAAAGGGTCTTTAGCTGTGATAAAATAAATCAAAATAATTAAGGAAAGATGAGACAACTGTCTGCGTACGTAATCAACAAACTTTAATTTCTTAAATTGTTTTTAGGTTATTAAATTGCCAAAATTACGCATAACAATGATCAATTAACCACCTCTTCTGAATATACATATAAATAATGAGGAATCGTTTTCCTTTTTTCCTTCTTTTTTTAAAGGGCTCTTCCATTATTCTATTTGTTTTTAAAAAATTAGATTTGTTTATTAATAAGTTATTTATTTTGTAGTATACTAGTTAAATTTTTTTTAAAAAAATAAAACTTCAAAATATATTTTAAAAATTTCAAGATTTAGCTACGATTTTAAAGATATATTTTAAAAAGTGGGAAGTGAAAAGAAAAAAAGAGTTGAAAAATCATTTTATTAAAAAAAGAAAAAAAAGAACTAATTATTTCAATGAAATTATATTAGCATTTTAATCCAAAGATGCAAAATTTACTACTAATTTCTATTTTATCTACCATGGATTACCCTTTTTGAATTTAATGAAACATGAAGATTAAAGAAATACAACTCAAATAGAAATATTAGACGAATCTATGTGTCATTTGATAATTATATCATTATTAGTTAAAAGGGAAAAAAATCTGAATATTTAGAGGGAAACATCGAAATTACCCCTAGTGGACCCAGCATTGATCTGGCATTAGTGTGTCCAAATTAGGACATGTCCTTCTAAATTTGGAATCCTAAGTTGGACCAAATGAACCCTACGCCAAACTTTGATAATATGCCATCATGTCTCATTTTCTAAATTGAAGTAAGGAGTACTTGTTTTTATTATTTTTTTTAGTAAACAAGTTTCTAAATTTTTATCCACATGTTGATATTTTCATCGATATTTACCTGTATCTATGAGTTCAACATCAACATAAAGGGTATATCAATAAAATATCAATAATATTAATATTAATCATTTTTATTGAATTGTTTATTTGTTAATTTAAATATTTTTTACAAATTTTTATTTTTATAATTTTTCAAAAAATATATATCGACATCGACATTTTATCGTTATTTATATATATATCGACATTTAAAATCTTGATGCTAAAGGAGTATTTGTTATTTGTCTTCAAATTATGAAATTATACAATTTGTATAATACTTTTTTTTTCTTTTTTGCAAAAAAGAAATTGTATAATAAATTATTACATTAACTGTTTCAAAATTTAAGGTTTTTATTGTGAGATATTATGTGCACTCTCAAATACATTTATATGCTAATTTTAGGCCTTTTCAAATTTTATGTCACATTATTCTTAAATTTTGTAACCAATCTTCTGCTAAACATAATGTGAAAACGAGCCTAGCTTAGCATATGCCTTCAATCGAGTTTGAATCCCCTCCCCAACATGTTGTACTAAAAAAACATGCCGACAAAATTCAATTAATTTGAAATTTTAGAGGTGTAAATTTTTTTTTTTCTGTTTCTTTCTTTGCCCCCACAAGATTTGACAATGAAGATAGGGAAAATGGTAGTGTAACCTATGAGGTATTAATATTTGTTTTTTTTATACAACATGTGAGGGTGGTAGATGAAACTCACAAACTCTTGGTTGGTTGGAGATATATGTCAATTACTATCTAGATATGCTCACTTTGACTATAAAGTATTAATATTTGTGATTTTAGGATCAATATATATATCATTATGTATATTAATAATTTAACGTAATCCAACTTTCTTGATAATAACGTTTTTGTTTATTTGTACTTATTGAAATTTATTTTGGAAAACTAATTGAAAATTAAAATAAAATTTCTCAAGCTATAGGATTATTTTGAAGTTGTTTGTTTGTTTTTCTTTTTTTTTTTCTTTCATATAGCCCTATAGCTAAATGAAAAGCTATTTGGTTGATTGTTTTATCTTTTAAATTATTTCCTCTTATTTTGTTTTAAAGATGGCATGTGTTTCCAGAATAATTAAAGTTATTCTTACTTTCAAAATTATGGTTTGTGAAGAATAATATCTCAAATGCACATAAATTCTTATAAACTTTATATACACGAAAACTCTATTCTCAACGTTTTTGGTGAAAAGTAAACCTTATTGTCTCAAATACATGGGCCAGCAAATAAAAGGACAAAAGACAAACAATTCCCTTTTTTCCTCTTTCAAATACTTTTCTCCTATTTTTTTCAGTTTCAAAATTACAAAATATGTAAGGAACTAATTGACTAGAATAGAAATTAAGTCAAATTTTGTCCACAATGAACTAGTTAGATCAAAACTAATTGGGAGAGAGACATAGGGTTCAGATTCTATTTTCCTCTTCCATTAAATAAAAAAAGAAAAAGAAAAAGTCTCTGGTCCCAAATTAACTCTTTTTTTTTTTTTAAGAAAAATATTTGGTTGAGAATGAAATGAAAGTGAGAAGTGATGCCAAAAGCTAAAGCAAGCACATTATCAAAGCATTTATACATATGCTGTAATTGTAAAAGAGAGCAAAAAGCAAACTCCTATGTCTCTCTTTTGTATTTCAAGTACATCAAATAATTCCCCACATATATTTATATATTTACATGCCCATGGGCCTCGCAGATACATGACCACTGTGGTCTAATTGCATTGAAAGAACTACTGCATGTCCGGTGGAGGTTGGATGTTCGAATCCTTGTTTGTCATTTAAAAAAAATTGAAGAATATATTAAACACGATTCTAAAAATTTAGGGATTAAATTTGTAATTTAACCATAATTTCGACAGGGGCGAAGGAGACATGTATCCTTTTACAAGTTGACCCTTGAGAATCTAGAATGGGATGGCAGCTAGTAATCTCCTCCCCCAGKGACATGCATGAAATGAATGATACGAAAGAACAGAAATACACACAAAATGGAAGGTTGTACTTTTATCATAGAAAGTAACGTTTCATTATTGCCACACATGAATCCCTTGAAGAAACTCAGGGAAGTTAAAGATACCCATCATGGGCCCAGGCCCTGCCCATGGGCTGGCTGTAAATGTGGTCCAATGGACCACTTTTAAATGGGCCCACCCAGAAAACCCAGATTGAAGAACAAAGCTAATTTCGCAGAAAAGGAAGGCTGGATTTGTAGTTGCTGGGTTGGCACAGTCACTTTCGTTGGGTCTCTCAGACKCAGGCAACCTGATCAAAAATGGCCCCTTCAAGTTTCTTTTTTCCATTCAAATTCAGAGAGTAAATGCAGTGCAAAAGGGATTGGCTTTATTTTCTCCATCGACACCTCCTTTTGAGGGCCATCTCCTTCCCTCTCTCGTCGCTGTCGCTTCGTCAATGGAGATTCAACCCCTGTTACTATTCATCATTTAACCTATTTTCGACATAAAGGTCATGAGTCTCCCACATATTATTGTATATTAAAAAARATTTCAAAACCTATCTAAGGTGAAAATTGATATAACTTACCAAATTTAAGACTAAAAAATAAATCTCCAATTTACATTCAAACTTTAGAAAGTTCACTTTCTTCTGTTACTCTAAAAAGAGAGGGAAAAAAAAAAAAGAAAGAGAGAATTATAGCTTACATGGAAGTTAAAAATCAACATACACTCATTACTCAACCTAAATATTTTGAGTTTTAACATCAATTTCTGTTGTACATTGACCTATTCCAACTGCATTTTACTTTTTACCCCTAGCAAAATGTCATTCTATCCTGACCAAGAAAGTTATCCTAATTATCAGTCTATTGATTTCTCGTGTTTTACAATATTGAACATAGAATGACTTCAATAAGATATAACCCCAATATCAAATTGAATGATCAATCTAAACATAACTTAATTGATCTAAACATAATTGATTAAGTCATATAAAGATAATAAGTCAAATCTACACCTCTACAACATGTCGTTGTACTCAATCAAATTTCACGATTATCTCTTCTTCCAAAGTCAATGCAATTCCATTGCAGTAATGCAACCACCATACATTGATTTCTCGAGTGTTACTACAATCACAACTAATGGTTAGTGCAAAAGTTCAACCGACGACAATCATCAAATGGCTTTAAGTGATACTAAAATTTATTTGTTATTTGACCTTTGACCCAAGTGCTCATGATGAAGGTTTCTTCATTAGTTTAATTATTCGTTCAAATGAACYCTAAAGTAAAGACATATTAAACTAGAATATGTCAAGTATTCCTGCATATATTGGCCACTCTCGATCCTACAGAATATGTCAATATCCCCATCCAAACTGAAAATTCTCCAACCCCTGTGAGAGATTTGTCATCCTGGGTTTTGTTTAGAAAAACTGAAAAGGAAATGGCCAAGAAAATTAAATTTAAAAAAGCCACGGAAAATTTGGACTTTTTCTTTTGGTATTTAATTGATTAAACTTGACGATACTGATAAAAAGAACTTACAGACATTGGGTGGGACTTTGCGACGAGAGTTTGAGGACTCGTTTCAAAAAAGCTATCAGAGTCCTTTTCTATGGTACTGGGGATCATGGAAGGGACATCTTTTGATTTATTAATCAAATGAAGTCCTGAGAAGTGATCACCCCAGATATCATATTTGTATTTATCTTGAATCCCAGACTTACCATCCTCTTCTAAACAAGCTTTCTGGTTGAAGATTTTAGAACCAGGAGCTCGAGCATGTGGAGCAATTTTGGATGTCGAAGCAACCAGAGGAGAGCATATGACATTTGGTGCAGGCCTCCCAGCAGAAGGAAAAGTGGCAGAAGGCAGCAAAACAGGTTTACTGTAATTCTTTTTCAATTCCAAAGGAGCCTCTTTGGGAGATGAAACCAAGCTGTCAGTGCAGTTCTTTGCAGTAACTTCAGGTTTCGATGTGTTCGTAACAGTAGGTTTGGATGTTTGCATCTTGTGACATTGGGTATCGTCTACCACCCGAGCAAACAGATTAGTTGCCTCTATGGATTGGTTCACATCGGGAGACAAAGGCCATGTACGTTTTGGTGTACCAGATGCTGTGGGTGACAACGGAGATGAAGGCGTAGAATTACCACTTTGACTACTGGAAACTTCAAATAGACCAGCTAACTTCATACCACCTCCCTTTTTCTTCTTTCGCCGCCTCCCCCTATCCCTCTCCTTTCCAGTTTTCACAGTGAGGTAATTTGGTTGAGATGCTTGAACAGCATCAGAATCCTCTATTGCTAGAGATTTTGACTGCAGAGAGGCTTGTGGTGCTCCTTCCTCTTCAAAAACAGACCAAACATCTGAGAATTTACTGCTTTTCTCACCATGACGCACTGAACAAGGTTGCTCAGTACTCCTTGGAGAACTAGAGATGAAATYGATACCATACTTGCCCGAGAAATCCAGAAAGCTGAAAGATATCATGTGTGGCAAAATCCAACAGAAGAACAGAAGCATTAGAGAAGCAACTAGGAGAACAGCGAAAGATAATTTCTTCAATCGTGTCCACAACACTGATTTTCTGCAATTATTGAGCATATAGAAGGGGAGACTTGCCTTCATGGGTATTACAAGTATACCAGTAGCCAAGGCCAGTTCAAGATCTCTATAAACCACAGCTGCGGAAAGATCAGTCTGGTATGATATCACAAGTTTCTTCGACTCTCCAGGTTCAAGGACAAAATCATTACAATTGTGTACTAAGAAACCATCTAATGCACATTCTGCACCAGAGATTTTTATTTTCTTGAACTCTAAAGGCAAGTCGCCAGTGTTCTTGGCATAGAACTCTTTAGACAATGGCAATGTACAAGTATGGCTGATCTCTTCCATACGGACTGATCTTTCTGAAGGGGAGATATTGAGCAAAATTGGGGATTCAAGCTCAAACTCTATACTGATAACAGGTTTTGAACCCTCGAGAAAAAGCAGAGAAGATGAACCCCCGTATCCTCTCAACGACAGCCACTCTACCCCAGATAGATTATTTCTTATCAAAACTGAACTTCTCCAGTGACATCGACCAGAAGGGTAAAAGACTACTGGTCCCAAAAGCACATCCTCAAAAGGATGAACATAGGCCTCCGTAACTGCACCCTCTGATAGTGAAAATCCATGCTTCTTCGGCATAGTAAAGTCGTTGTGAATTAAGCCACCGGATGGTAGGTGGATAAGTCCCTCACGATCTCTGCATTCGTCAACCATTTCACCTGAATTAATGATTAGCTGCATTACAACTGGCCACTTGCTTGGATTTTTCACAGTGATCCACTTAGTCCAATGACTTCCAACCTCGACCATGGGAAAAAATACCTCGTGTTCATCAAGCACAGACATGGATCTTCTGGTCCCCATAGAAATCCAATTTTCAAGCACCAATTCATCTGCTTCTGCTCTCTCCATGGCCTTCAAATTCACAGAAACATCTAGGTCATTTTGCATATCACAGAATGAGGTGCTAATTATGCAAGTATATAGAATCAATACATGAACATGTAAAAAGGGGATAGAAAGGGAGGCAGGAAAGGACAATATCTCAAGCAGTCACGTTCACAAGTCACAAAAACAACAATAATGCTTGAAAAGGTTCAAACATATAATCCTAATCCAAGTATCATTTGTCATCAAGATCAAAGTCCTTAGGAACTGCAAAACCCAGCATGATCAATCCAAAAGCAAGTAATATGAGAATATGAGTGTGAAAATAATTAGAGAAGATAGGTGTTTGTAATAAAGTATGTTCCGCCAATCTATATATACAAAAAAATGTAAGAGCAAACAAAACTACATAAGTAAATAGTGCAGTTATAGCAGCAATTATGCTCTTAGATAAGCATGAGAAATGCATACTTGTAAAAAACAAATATTGTCCTTAAATGAGAGACAACAAAAACTCATGATATGCAAATTACAATATTGGTTAAAATAAATAAATAAATAAAAGAAACAACAGTATACCTTGATCTCTGACTGTAACCGCACATGATTGCCCAGAGACTCTRTTCTCACATTACCAGACATGAWGCGTTCAGATAGCTTTCCATTTCCCATGAAAGAGTACTTCCAGTATTCTGAACATAAAAGGAATATATCCTCGCAAGGAACTTCAATATGGGAACTACTTGACTCATTAGTCAAGACAAGTAATTTACATTTACTATACATATTGAAAATTTCAGGTGAAGACTTGTGGAAGTGAGCATGTCGTGTATTACAGGTAACCAGAGCAACTTGTGTGGCAGTTCCAGGGAAAAGTAGCAAGCCTTCCAAGCTTTTAAACTCGAAAACCTTGCTTTCAGCCACTTCAATGATCTTAAGAACACTAAGCATGTGAGAAGCAATGTTCTTCAGGGCAACAGCAACAAAAACATTTCCATGGTACAGTAAAGGCTCAAAAGATGCAAATACAGACCCTTTATGATCATCATGGGTTGATCCCCCTTCAAGTTCAGCTTCAAGAGGCACCACAATTACATCAGGCTTATCCTGTGAAGGCCTTGATAACTGCAGCCAAAATGTGCCAATGATTGTCCCACCATATTTGAATGACAAGTCCACTTCTATAATAGTTTCATTGCTGTGAGGATCTATCTTCCACTGTTTGTAGGGCTTCATAGACAACAGTGGTGAGCCTATCTGACCATGTTGGATAACCAAGCCATCTTTCACAATTGGTAACTTTGGTTCATCAAATACCTGATATCTTTCTAYTCTACAAACTGCTTCTGCATGGTAGTATTCATCCTCTTTAAAAACTGATATCCATCCTGTTAATTCCTCAACATAGAGAACATCATCGAAGGGATTGAATAAAGACAAATTTTTAGTCAATCTCCCACTTGAGTGTACATTTAGGCTTAACGACGGCTGGATTCCATAAGGTGACTGAATGGCAAAGCCTTTAGCCGATACCAAAAAACCACCAAAACTTGTTTGCAAAATCAGATGGGCAGAGGACGAGCCCAAATATTTTGGGAAGAAAACAAAGTAAATAGAAACAGCTTCACCAGGTCCTAAAAGAGCCTCACTAAAATTGCAAGAATAGAACTGTGAGTCAGTGCTGAATGGTTCGTAGATATGTAGAATACTTTGGTTGCATGTATTCGTCACGGTTATTGAAGCTAAAGAAGGTAAGTATAAAAATTCCTGCTTCCAATCCAACTCAGTTGGACTAATATCTACATCGGGAGATATAGAACTCTCTGAAAAATCTGAATTCATGACATCAATATTTTTCTTTTTCGTAGAACTTGGGATTTTATGATTAAGTGGATCCCCTCTACACGTAGAAAGATCAAATTTACTAGTGCTATCAAATTGTTGTATGGAAGACAATTCATTAACACCCTGTCTTGAGTTTAAAGAGCATGAAATTATCCCACCTTCAAATAATTCAAACATACCATAATCTGATAACTGGCTTTTGTTTGCAGCCAATTTGTCATCTTGAGTCGATCCAATGGAGGATGTACCGTCAAACTGATCCAAAGAAACCTCTACATCTATCCCTTTTTCATTCGACGAAAAGTCAGGTAGCGTTGAAGGAAAGCAAAATAAACGACTGTCAGTACAAACACTTTCAAAACTTAAGCACGCCGTTGGATGACTGCCCAATCTAATGACTGCTGGAAATGCGTCATGGATGCCCTCAGGATTATTCATGTAATACCCAGCGTCTTCATTTGACACTGATTGAAGCTCAGAAATGAAGCATGGTTCACATGAAGCATGATAAACGAAAGTACAAAACAGAACAAGGATAGAAATAATTGCCCTGGCCAAGTCTGGATGAAACAGTCCCCTGAGTAAACCAAAAGGGTATAATCAAGTCATTTGCAAAATTTTGCTCAGACTAACACACGCAAAAAGTGCAGGGAAGTTTAACAAAACACAAAAACCAGACATTATAAATTGAAAAGCTACAATGAGACGCTTTTTCATTTCTTTATTTTTTCATCAATTATTTCCTCCCGCCATTCACTCTCATCAGTCAGACGATGCCATGTAGACCAGCTGCTTGCGAACATAGAGGAGAGCATAAAAAATAGTAAAAAGGAAAAATGTCTATGTATGTCCAAGATTACCGCTTTAGAACATGATAATTATCAATATCCAACCGCAGTTACAATGACTGATAAAATCCCATCACACCTGATTTTTCTGCTACAAGTTAGACACAGAGTATATTTTTAAAAATGTCCAAATACAACAAAAAGTGATTTAAAAGTGGCTCAGTAGATTCCGAATAACATGGAGACCGTTCTTACCGGAACCACGAATAGATTAAACTTCAAATAAAATTAGCATACGTTTTTAAGAAATTAATAGACCCAAAAATCAATTAACRGTAGCAGAAATAGGAAGCCGTTAAAATTAAACAATCGGAGCCAAACCCACCAAGCCAACCTATTACCCGAACCATCTTTTAAGCTCGGAGTAACTTCAGATGAAAAATCCCGACACAAAACGATTAAACTCGACAAAAGAAGGCAATCGCACAGCAACAGCTTCAGCAAAATGGATACGAAGTTGCAAGAAAAAAAATTTTAAAAATATGAAGAACCAGAAAAGGAAAAGAAATCTAATGATAAGTGAACAATCTATTTTCTTTCCATTTTCTGGGAACATGGAAAGCAAAGTAGGTGGATGAAGAGGAAAGATAGAAGAGAAAGTAGAAGTAGAAGAAGAAGAGTGAGGTTAAAGAGATGATGAAATGCGAAAGTTTACCGGGTAGATAAGATTGGAGCTCTGATATTTAGGGCTCTGAACTCCATGTAGAAGCACAGAGAAATACCATCTGAGTTCCGATGGACGGAACTTTCCGTTTTTAGGGTTTAGGTTTGGGTTTCTGCTCACAAGTACGCACAGACAGCTGATAAACAGCAAWCGAATGGCTCCCGGCGAAAACTGGAAAGGCCAAAAACAAAACCAACGAAAAGTGGCCTAAAGGTGAAAAATAGCCTTTGTCGCTTTGAAATTACCGAAACACCCCCGTTGCGCCGCCCGATGATTCACGGCGTCGCGCCGTCTAACTTCTATGGCTGGCTAATTTGGACTTGGACGACTTGGACTGGACCGGACGCTCTTTTTTACGTATTGGAATTTTGAATTTTGATTTCCAGATATTTTACCCAAAAAAAAAAAGGAAATTTGTTGGGACTTTAATTTAATTCATTCCAGTTTCATAAAACTAATTTTGGGAAAATTACGAACATACCATATTTTAGAAAATTAATTATTGATTAGAGGGATTAGCTCCATTAATCATACAAGTACAAGCCTAGGCAAAGTTGAGGAGTGAGCCTCAACACTCTACCATTCTAATAAAACTGAAAAAAAATATATATATCAAAATATTCTATCAAATCGAATCGAAAACTTTCAAATATGATATTGAGTTGGAAGCTTAGCTAGTATCTCTTTTCTTTGTAAGCACAAAAWTTTTTTAATCAAATTATTCGTCTATGTAAGTTAGTAAGGATTCGAACTCATTATCTTTGATCGAAAAGAGATACTTTAACCAATTAAGTTATGTTACGTTCAAATTAACAATTTATCTTATTTATATAATCTAACTTAAAATTTAGTTATTTTATTAAATTCATTTAAATGCTTATCTTTTTCTCTCATTTAGAATTTGATTGATTGTCAATTTTCAATATTCGCATGGCCCGAAAGGGAAGTATCGCAAAGGAAGGCATCAGCTTTACATCTACCCTCTCGTTTGCAATCTTCCAACTTTCTTCCAATATCTTTTTAAGAAATCCCCAAGAATTTAATTGAATTGACAACTCAAACCATAATATTTTTTATAAATCACATTGGAAGATAGTGTGGCTATTTGATTATTCGTGGTCTCAATAAGCCAAAAAATAATGTTTACCTTTGTTTGCCTCTAATGAGGTAAGTAAAACAAGTTTATACACTTGACTATTTGTTTAAAAATTAGTATCGAATGAAACTATTGATTTAAAAAAAAAACGGTCAATACTAAAATGGACTAACTTTTTGTTACAAAATCCATTATTTTGGCGAAACCGGTAGAAATGAAATTGATAAAACTTATTGAGATTTGAATAGACATGCTATCCTAATTGTTGATGTCGAATTTAGGCTCCTTCTGATTCTACCAAATTCGCATTAAATGAAGAAACGAGAATGAACATGGATCCTGCAAAACCAATAGCACTGAACACTTACATGGTGCTAGCCACATAAGCTTTAACGATACTTAAGTCAATATTGGATATAGCCGAGTTGGAAAGAGGCTTTATCGGAGTTTTCGATCGATGGCTGAGTCGTAGTTGGTGCTTGACCAGAGTTAGCCTTGGTCGATTCGTGTCGTTCAACCTCTGTGTGTCGGGTTATGGCCTCCCTACTTGGCTTTGTATATCGAGGCCCTTTTCACTTTCAGTCAATTTAGTTCTTTTGTCTTTTCGTTGGACTTCATTTGATATGCCTATAACACTAGTTATAGCTATACTTTATGAATTGAATTGATTACTACAATACGAATTATCAAACCTAACTCAATTTAATTGATTCGGACTTGTACCTTTGGTATGAAAGGGACGGTAAAGTCTATGAATCCTTACCATCAAGTTCAACAAGCAAGAAAAAGCTTTCAAATGAGAAAAATTGAATGCGGGTGAATTAAGTAGATAAATTTGAGACTAGAAGGTGTTAGAATATGTGAGCTGGATGATCTTTTTTCCTTGAATGGTATATAGGTTAATTTTATACTCAATTTGAAATTCTCCAATAAAAGTAAATTAGTATTAAATTCTCTGGTGAGAAATATCAAAATCCTTGCATTGCAAAACACACATGAGAATTTCTTTTTCAATASAACCTTAGTCATCAATTCTAGCTCTCTCTCAATTTTCATATATCTTAATTTCACACTAGCTAGGCACTAAGCTTGGGCTTGGAGAAATATAACAATATAATGTAACCAAATTGGACTCATAAATTGAGAGTTTGGACTTGGAGTTGGAGGGTTTGCCACTGCCAATTGCGGGGAAAGCTTAAAACTTGGAGAACCCATCAAAAAATAGCGTAGAGTTTTTTTCTTTTCTAAAAATGGTTGAGGCTAAAAGACCATTTTATCCTTAGTTCCATAAAATTATGTAAGGGTTGTTTTTCAAAATCTGAAAATTTGAGAATTATATATTACTGTTTCATTAATTATGAATTGACTTTTGTGTGTTGCAGAAAGCACATGGAATGTGACGACGCATTTGGCTCGTTGTTGTCTTCAAATTTTTCCASCAATATGGAAATCGATTTGTAATAAATACGCCGTGACGAACCAAGGGTAGTTTCGGGAATCTAGAGACACTATTCAGATCAAACTCCCTGCTACACGTATACCCCAGTCGCTTCGATGTGGACACGAACACGACAAGTGGGAAAAAGATCCCAACAAAGGACCCTCAATTCTGAATTTTTTGGAAAGATCAATTTCATCCGCTTTGACATAAATGTTCCACTAAATTACAAAATATATATACATATATAACTTTGCTTTTCACCATGGTTAGTATTTTGAACAGAAGGTCTAAGTGATAGAATTTAAAACAATGTGACCATTAAAATAGAAGTTTATTAGGAGCAATTACCTAACACTTCARTAGATTCGACATTTGACATTGTTTGATAATATGATTAATCTCATGGAAAAACTGCTTAATYCTACAATAATTCATATCGRGAAGTCTATTAGAATTAATTCTTAAAGTATATGGCTATTACGAAATTTGAATTCATCTCCTCTCAATTCATCCTAGTCTATTTGGACCAATAAACCACTCATAATGGTTACCTAAATGGATTTATAATAGTTTGTTCTAAAATGTCAAAAAACAACCCAATCAAATATCTCTCAKAACTTAGGGGATTGCTTGTCATTGCAAAACCATAAAAATCCAAACTTATTTAAAAAAAATACTTTATTTCATTATTTTGTTCTTAAATAGAAACTMTAGGGTCAAATATTTAACCACAATATTAGTGATTAGCAATGCAATTAGTAATATGAGTTCAGCTCAACGAGAGTTGATACATGCCTCCTGCTCTTAAAGTTGGAAATTCCAAGTCTAATACTCTAATCTTTTGTACTAAAAAAAAGTCCAAATTTTAGATTTTAAACTCTAAAATGTATAATTACATTTAAAATATAAAAATTATAATAAATATATTATTTCATGTTATAAATTTATTTCACCGTCTATCTAAAAGAAATGGATAAAGTATCAATTTCTAAACACATAACTGTTGTTTTAAATTGAATTTCTTGTTTTCTTATTTCGGTTCAAATTGGGGTAGAGATTTTTTTTCTCCCCTGAAAGAAAAAAAACAGAGACTTTTTTTTTTTTTTTATATAATAATATGTTGGACGTCACCGAATATTCATTCGTAAAATAATTGATCGTCCATGAAGTGGGACCAGCTAGTATCCACCACTTTTCTCGTTAACTTTGTGAGCAGAGCACGAGCAACTTTGACAAAGATGGCAAATTCCCTACGGAAGTGCAATATATAATGTTATTTTCTTAATATAAATTGAGTATTCTACAAGGGGTTTCTCTCTTTTCTTTTCTTCTTTTAATGTGTAAAGAAAAAAGAAATTAAAAATGTTAACTGGAGTATTTGATATATACACAGTAGAATAAAGATATTATAAAATAAATATTCCATCAATTGAATTATGTTAGTATTTTTATGTATAAAAAGTTGGTTTATTTTCCTAATTATTACAAATATATATATATATATATATATATTTTTAAATAATCTTAATTAGAATTTTTATTGGAAAAATGCGAGAGTAGGATTTCGATGGGTGCCCCTCCGTGCACAATCTAGGGAGAGCGATAGGCGGAACGGTGGAATAACGCCTTCGCCTAACGAGGAATCGAAGAAACGGAAAACGTTAAACGACGGCACGACAGCTTGGCGGCGGTGTCACAATCCCCTAGATTCCGTGTCCACTTGTCCGAATCGTAGTCACCTGTCCTAAAAGCCAAGAAGCGCTCACGACCGTTGGATTTAATTCGATGTTCGCAAGGTCAGAAAAATGGGTACGCGACAGGCGGGTCCCAAGGGCCTTGTATTTAATGTATCGGACGACTAAGATTGATCTGGGCCCCACGCTCGACAGCGTAAGAGTAAGGCGGAGTACATGGTCCTTTGCTTCATCAGCTGTGGGTCCCATCTTCCCCACCTCCTTCTTCCCTTTTTTACTCTTTTTTTTCCTTCTTTTCCTATTTTCTTCTTTAATATATATATTTTTTAAAATGTACTAAAAAAAAAAACTTTGAATAGTTATCAAATTTATACAAACTTTAATGTAATTGTTTGTACCAATACATATTTATGCAACCAATAAACTTTATTCGGATCTAGGTAGAAGATAATTTTTTTTTGACGGAGCTAGAAGATAAACTTAAATCTTATCACTATCATTTTTTAAATAATTTTCTTCACACTTAAACGAATTTTCAATTATTAGTAATGGATTGGCCAACCAGCTACTTAAAACTAATTGATTAAACATAAGATGGGCTATGCATAAGTCTGACATAAAATTGTCCCTAAGGGGGGCTTTGGTCATTGCATTACTTTTTATTATTAGAAAAAAGATACGATTATTGTATTACTAATAATTGAAATTTATCATTAAAGTTTTTCAATCATAAACTATTCTAAGAAAAAAAAACTGACTTGAAGTACTAATGTCAAAAATTTTCTTAATTATCTTAGGTGGCAATTAACATATGATGAAAACAATTATAAATAGAGATGAATATATGTATTTTTAATAATCATAAATTTTGAGATGAAGTTGATACAAATATATTATGTTTATTTTTTAACTCGATCTTTACCCTATATAATTAA